CCATACCCTTTTAGACCTGAGTCACTGACTGAAGTCTGCCCCTCGCTCTCAGTGGATTTCTCTACAGAAGGATCAGCAACCCCATCCTACACAGTCCTAGCTTTGAGACATTCCTGGCTTCCTACCAACTGTTTTAAAGGCCAGCCCTTCTGAATTAGATCATTCTCAATCATTATCTCATTTAACTCACAACACAACCCAATGAAAACAGATGTTATTATCCCCATCTGACTGATGAGAATTTTAAAACTCAAATTACATTAGAGAACATACAGAGGCCACATGCTAGGCAGTGGCAGAGTTGGAACTCAGTCAGGTCTTTCTATTTCCAACCATAATGTCAGACTGTCTCCACTATATTAGGTTTCCTTTCACCATGTCTCACAAAAATTATTGCAACAGACTTAGAGCACACCTTTCCATCTTCCAAATCATCCTGTACGTTATCATAAGAGTATTCTTCCTAAGCATTCACTGCTATCATATAAATTCCATGGTCTAAATTAATCTTCTATGGTTTTTCAGTTACTTACAAAATAAGTCCCAATTTCCTATCTAAATATTTGAGGGTCTCCATAATCTGGATCCTGCCTTCTGGTGAATGTTTATCCCCATATCCCTCCATGATCCAGGCCAAGCCACACTTCCCCCTGTGCCTCAGCCACTCAGCCCAGGCCATTCCTAAAGTTCTATGGTCATTGTTCCTAATTAAATCTACTCCAACTGTCACAGTGTAATCCAATCCCCAACATAAAAAGCCTTCCTTGACTTCACATAACCAACCCTAACCCATTCTTCTTTCAACTTTACTCTAGCCATATTGGCATTTTAACATAAATTGCATTATAGGATTCGTTTTTATAACATAGGGTGACTCACTGAAATTTCCCTTCTCCAAATCCCCACACTTTATCATTCCAAACCTCAAATTATCATTATTTTCAAGCCCCTTCAGAGCAGATGTGTCTTATTTAAGTGTGTGTCCCTTCTTCCAAACCTAACATGATGCCCCAAAGCATAGCAAAAGCTCAATAAATGAGTAAATAAAAAAATAAATTAGAAATGGGAAAATAAGGGTAAGAAAGAGGAAAAGTTTTTTATCAGCACCTACTTGAGATAATAAATTTTAAACCTTTATATGTGCTAACTAACATTGGAGATTAAACCAATATTCCAAAAACTGTTATATATCATGTTTGCCTAGATAGAAATCTAAAAATTTTGAAATGAGATGCTTTCCTCCAAATTAAAATAGAACATTAAAATGATTTTCTGAATCAAGAAAATTTGACAAAAGGTATTAAACTGTTAACATGCAAAATGTCATAACAAGGGCCTTTTTTAGTATCTTGCTTTTGAAGTTATAACAGTGTGAACTACTACAGTATTTCCTTTTCTTTTTTACCACAATAAAGGCTCCAAAATGAAACTCCTATTCTTGCTGATTAAGAAGTTGATTGCAGACAAACCATCGACCTATGTCTTTACAAAATATGACCTCTTATACAGTGAGAGTATCAGACCATTTAAGTTACTGAATTTTGGTGGGCAGGAGGGGGAGGGTACAGGAAAACAATGTTATCAATTTTTATCAGAGATTAACTTCAAGTAAAGTACTAATAATTAATAAGGCAAGATGTATTTAAATAATTTCTAGCAGGAAAATATGATTAATTTAGCAAGTAATTTGCTTCCATAGTGCCAAAGATCTGAAAGACTTAAATTTTCAGATTTCTTCCATTTGCTTGGCTTTGTGTAAATACATTCCAAGTACAGTTTAATCTATTAGTTTGGTAAATCATAAAAAATGGAGGGATATTCTCACCTGGCCGGCATGGCTCAGAGGTTGAGCATCGACCTATGATCCAGGCTATTGGGGTTCGATTCCTGGTCAGGGCACATGCCTGGGTTTCGGGCTTGATCCCCAGTGGGGGGCGTGCAGGACATAGCTGATCAAAGACTCTCTCATCATTGATGTTTCCATCTCTCTCCCTCCCTCTCCCTTCCTCTCTCTGAAGTCAATGAAGATATTTTTTTAATTTTTTAAAAAAGAGGGATATTCTCTTCTCTGTGTCCTTAATTTGAAATACACTGTTTTAAATACCAACTATAGTTTTTTATGAAAAGATGGTACTCTGTAAAGTACAATTCAAATTTGAGGCAGAATTAGTTTTTGTATATTATTGGGTGGAGCAATTTCTGCCTTGAAGAGAGATAAAGTGCTTGAAATGCCTTAACTTTCTACATAGTGGGCAAAAATATCAAACTATCACCATGTTGATAAAAATTTCAGCCGTTGGTGAGATCAGCTTTGGTTGCAAAGGCTCCGTCTGTCCACCTGCCAAGTCTGCCAGGGCTCTCCAGGGGCTAACTTGCCTGCAGACAACCTACTCCTCCTTTCGTGACAAAACAGCTTCAGCTTGACTGTACTGAGATGAATGCTACACTCATCAGCCCCTCCAATGAAACTCGGGAGGCTTTGTTAGCTACTCATGGCTAAAATAACACAAATATTTCTATTATTATGCTGTCTGTTTTAGTTAAATTAAACTTAGTTGAGGTGACATTGGTTAATGTATTATATTTTCAAGTTTACGACTCTGTAACAGAGCATCTGTATACTGAATTCTATGCTCACCACCCAACGTCTAGTCCCCTTCCGTCACCATGTATTTGGCCCCCTTCTTACCTCTTCGTCTCCCTCTCAGCACCCCCTCTGGTAACCACCATATTGCTGCCTGTGTCTATGAGTTTGTTTGCTCACTGGTCGCTTTGTTTAATATCCCACATGAGTGAAACCGAATGGTTCCTGCCCTTTCCAGCCGACTTATTTCACTATCACGGAACTCTTAAGATCCACCCAGGTTGTCGCGAATGGCAGCATCTCATGATTCTTGTGGCTGACTGGCACTTTGTGTACTTGCACCACATCTTCTTTATCCAGTCATCCATCAAAGGACGACACTTAGGTTGTCTCCATGTCTTGGCCACCGTGAAAAATGCTGCATGAATATAGCGGTGCATATATCTTCACAAAAAAATGTTTTCAAATTTGGGGGTAGATACCCAGAAGAGAGGTTGCTGGCTCAGATGGAGGCTCTATTCTGCATGGTTTGAGGGCCCTCCATACTGTTTTCCATAGTGACTGTGCCAGTTTACATCCCCCCGCAGTGAGTGAGGGCTCCTTTTTCTCCACATCTGCTCTAGCATATGCTAAGTCTTTCAACAGAACTTACTCAAGCTAAAGGCCATCAAGAACTTTAGGAAAGAAAGACTATAGTTAGAAATTCTATATTAAACTTTCCCCAATACATTTTTTTTTTTTTAATCCTCACCAGAGGATATTTTTTTCCATTGCTTTTCAGAGAGAGTGGAAGGGAGGGAAAGAGGAGAGAGAAAGAGAGAAACATTGATGTGAGAGAGACACATTGATCGGTTGCCTCCCACACGAGCCCCAAGGCAGGCCCGGGGATCAAGCCCACAACTGAGGTACATGCCCTTGACCAGAATCAAACCCAAGACTGTTCAGTCTGAGGACTGACGTTCTAACCACTGAGCAAACCCAGCCAGGGCCTAATACAAATTTTAAAAAATGAAATTTAACTCATAAATATAATTTCTTGAAGGAGAAATCTGTAATCATAAGCCATAAAAAGAGTTTGAAAATGCAATTGGTCACCTGGAAAATTTTGAATTAAACCTTTTATATACTGAAAAAATATTCCTAAGGGAGTAACTCAGTGAGGTGTTTTCTCTCTGCCAGTACAGTTATTAAAATATGTAATTGCAAATTCCCAAGTACAACTAAATTCTATTTAAAATACAATCCATTGATTTATGTATTTATAGGGTCAAATTATCATCTATTTTGTGACATCCATCTACATTCCTATATTTTAACAGTTTGAGTATTTATCTTAAGTAAAGCTATATAAGTATTGCAATTTTTTCATAAAAACTAAACACAATAATATATGTAAACTCCTAAAATATTTAAATCTCTGTTCATTGTGCATTTATATTTGTTCTGTCTATCAGAGGTCCTAATATGTGATAGGACCAAATTATACGTCTTCTCTAAAAATCTCCACTAATTAGAAAAGAAAAGAAGTCTACATGATACTAAAACCACATTCAACAAATGTCACTCAGTTTCTGAAAAACATGATCTTTAAAGAGAAATTTTAAATGTCGGAGCAAAATGTCCGAAGAAACTGTGATTTTTTTTCCCCCTTCAATAAATACCTAAAGATTAAAGGAAAAGCTTTGACTTCGAGAATATTATATTATCCACTTCCATTTTAGGATGATGTTTACCAAAATATCATAAATACTTAATAGCAACTGTTCCTAGTGCTTCTAGCAAAAGGCAGTAAAACGAAACATAAACCTCAGCTGTGAAAGCCCGGGAGTTTTGCTTTGCATGTCATTGCTCCACTTCCCCATACCCTGTTGAGAGTAGTCCAGAGTCTAATGATCACCAGAGACAGCTCCACTGAATTTGAAACAGAAATATTATGGGCTCCAGTGAAACTATTAATCATTAAAGTGGAAAGAACAACGAGAGCAGTCAGATACTCAGCCGGGGGTTCAAGATGCCTGGCTGATAGCTAGGAAATACCATATTGGAAAGAGAGTAATCACACATTCCAATCCAAATTTTTATTCTACATTGCTTCTGTAAATCCCATAAACTCTCCAGCTATCAAGATGCCGAGGAACGCCATGCTCAAAGGGTAGAAATGTCTAAGATCGTTTATGAAAATCTTAAACTTGAAATCACAAACCCAATCTCACAAAGCTCAATTTGCAAGAATACCAAACCTGACCAACAAAATCTAGATCTTCAGAACTGCACCGGTTTGCAATGCCGAACAAACTTCCTTCTTTATTTCCTTCTTCTAATGACCACCTGAACATCCAGGATATCACGATGGCTTCTTAGAGTTTAAAGTGTATCTAAAATTATGAGCCTTTCCTGCCCCTAGAGAAATACTCACAGAATTAATTATCCCTTTAAGAGCTTGAAATCCACCTTTGACAGGGAAAACTTGTTCCTTGGAATCAGCAATTCTTTCGAGCTTTGGAAAGAGGAAGAAGATTTAATGAAGAAGTGGTTGAGACATATAACACTTTATAAACTTCATTACATTTTAATTATGTTCTTCTGAAAAATTACACCACAGGATTAATCCACTAGTGTAGCCTGTCAGAAACTGAAGGTGACAGTGCTGGGAATACTCTAAATGCATCACAATGAAATGAACTGAGATCAGCCATAGCCCCTTTATAGTGGCCTGAAGTTTCAATTTCAAAATAGTACAGAAGTCCACTAGCTGTAGCTGTCATGAGATGCAGGAGTCTTAGTCATACTCAACAAAAATTTAAACGTAAAATCACTCTGTCAGTGCAAAAAAAAATTTAATATATAAACCCTTAAAACTTTATGAAAATAATTGTTCTTTTTTAAGGAGAATTATTAAAGATTTCTCATAAGCAAATTTCCTAAATCCTTGAACTCCTAAGGGTCTAGTTTTAAATCAAACTAAAACACTTAAATAAGATTGTCATAATATTCTTGTGAGTTGAGTTAAAGAACAGAAACACTTATATTATTTTAACCCAAATGTTTGTCCTAATTTAGTTCCTCTAAACCAAATAAATGTTCAATAAATGTAGAGTTTTGTTTTTCAGTAATGAAACCTGTCAAAATCTTTATAGAAAAGATTTTTATAGAAAATCTTTAACCACTGTCATAGTAAGTCATCACTGAAAAGAATTTGATAAATTATCCTTAAGACAATGATGTGACTTAAATTAAAGTTTGCAGATCTGCTGTACTCACTTGATCTTGTTCAAAGTCAAGGACACCAACACAATAAACTCTAGCCCCAAATGACCTGGATAATTTTGCCTACGGAGAGAAATAGAGATGGAGGGAGAGGGAGAGAGAGAGAGAAGCAGAGAGAGAGAGGCAGAGAAAGAGAGAGAAACTGAGGTGAATTATTCAAATATCAGGCTATACATGCAGAGACACACAGCAAAATACACTAGAGTGTAAAGAACAGTTTCAGTTCAATACTCACCTCTTTCTCCGCATATGATGGCACCAGACCGTCCAACTTACCATCTGTCAGAGCAATTATGATACTGGAGGTTTTTAAGCCTCCTGCTTTCTCAATTTGTTCATTTGCCTGAAAATGAAGAATAATTATCCAACTCACAATATAATCTTAACTTTGAACCAGCATGTTCTATCGAGCTGAATTTGTAAGTGTGACAAAATCAAAATATTATGGACTGGCTTTTAAAACACAGTATTTGTGTTAACAATTTTATTTGAAATACGCATAAATTTACATTATAGAGTAGTTACTACTGGGTTTAAATGACATAGATTTTTAGCTTTGGTTGACTAGTCCGAATATAACCATAGAGAAAATAGAAAATGTCTTAAAAGGCAAAATGCCATTCAAACCTTTCTTATTACCATGATAAATAACGTTCTCTATCAGTCTCATCCCTAGAACAACTAAAATAATTTAAATTTTTTTCCTGAGCTAAACATGTAATGGGGTCTTTCAGTTTTACCAAGAGTTATAAATTATTTCATTACAGCGTAAGAAAACATTCTCTCCCGTATGCATAAATGTCAAAGAACTTACTAGCTTTAGTCCTTCATGGATGTATGTCTCTCCTGTTGGAATAACATGTTTTAAATCCTCCAAGCCTTTGCTGATTTTGCCTCTGAAAATAATGTTTTATAATATTAAATAGAGAAAAACGAGCAAAGATCACAATCAGCACTTCTCAAAAAACATGGCAGCACTGCAACTAAAGTTTCTTCAGTAAGAAAAGGAAAGAAATTGAGCTTTGAAGGGCAGATAGCTCTTCATGCTTTTTGTCATTTTAACGAGTATTTAATAACGACTGTATTTTAACTACAAAAAATAAAAGTACAAACAATGTGAAATGTCTTGAAAATCTAAGCATATTCTAGGCTTTTTGAGTTGAGAACAGCTAACTTCAATCATACTTGTTTTACTAAATGCTAAGGAGTAAAACATGTTTCTTCATCAAACAAAACAAAACAAAACAAAAAAAACACCACCAAGGACTGAGTAAGTCAGCTGAACTGAAAAAGTATTTCTGAAGCACTTAACCCGCCTCCCTATGAGTTGGAAATTTTCTTTGTTATTTGAAAATTCCTAAAGCATGTTACTAAACCATGTTACTTATGAAAATTAACATTTTCTACCTTTGTCTCCCACAGTCATAAGTCTCATGATGTAGGCAGTTCTGTAGCACCTTCCTACCCATCCAGACACTAGTTCATTCTCTTGAATATTCTGGATACTTAATATATTGTTGATGAACAAGTAAAAGAATAAATAGAGATGAGCAAATAAAAGGATGGATGGATGGATGATAATGGATTCTTCAGAGGAGCAATATGAATTAAAAAGAGGAAGAAACATAGAATAGTCTTTTTCATCATGACTAATTAATTGTTCCAATAGAGTACTTTTAAATAAAGAGCTATTTTGTGTGTATGAGTAAGAGAAGACCCATTTATCAGGTTGCTTAAATAAAGGTTCCAAAGACTCCTTTAAAAAGAAAAAAAGAAAAACCCATAAGAATCTTAAGAGATAAATACAGTAATGTTGCAAAAACAACCCAAAATAAACTCAAAACTTATTTTTAAAATTTTAGACTTAAAAGATCAGAACAGAGATCTTAATATGTTGTTTGGGGAATTTTAGCTTTTAAATAGAAGCAAACAAAAATACCATTTTTAAAAAAGCCTTGAAATATTAAACTAAAGTACAATGCTTTAAATAAAACATGAAGAGCAGTCATACCACTGAGAATGACAGATGACAGATGAAAGACAACTGAAATTCAAGTTTACACAAATAGATTATAAAAAGTGCATTATCTAAACAGCAAGGAACTTACTGGGGTCATGCACAAAATTTTATATATATATAACCAATATATCATACTCTACTGAAACACATATTAAAAATAAAAATATTATTATTTTGTCATGCTGCAATGTTGTGTTTCAAATACTTGCAAAAAATGAGTCATTCACCGGAGCCTCACTCACATTTTAAAAGTAACTAATTGATTATATTTTAATATTGTAATGAAAATTATTATCAGACAAGGTCTCCATCTCAAGAAGTTTCCCCAAAACACAAGACAACTTTCAAAGTATGATCTTAATCTTCCTCCTTCCTGATTTAGTCATCTCTAGTAACACATATTGTCTCTTTTAATATTTGGTTTAAAATCTACCTACTCTTTTCTATGTTGCCCCAAACATATGCATGTTCAAATTTCACTATAGTGAATAATTTTGTCTCTTAAAAACATATTACTTTAAAATAATTTAACTAATTTAATTTAATATTTCCACAAGACTGGAAGTTTACAGTGGCCTATTCCCACATTTATTAGGTAAAATACATACCCCACTCTGCACTTATTACTCATTATAGTGCCTTTTACAAAGTAACTGTTCAATATTTATTTCAATCTACCGTAGGAAAAAAAAAATCATAATTCCACAGATGATGGAATGAAATTACATAATTTATAAACTTGTCTTATCTAAATATTTATGTTTAGTATCTACAGAAACAACTTGAAACCGATTCTGTCTGAATACAGATAAAAACCAAAGATTTGGTGCTTTCCAGAAATGAGTGGCAGCGTGTCCTCAAGCATTAATGTTTGCTGCCAAAATGAAAATGAAAAAGACAACTGAAACTCAAGTTTACACAAACAGATTTTGCATGGCAAAAATCGCCTTCCCCATTGGATTCAGACTCGGCTCACTCACTACTCCTAAGCAGCAGACAGCACCAGCAGAGACTCTCAGCTCCAAATAAATAAATAAATAAATGGAACTTGCCAACCGTGCGACCGAGTCTCGAGTCTGGGGAAGGCAGGGCTCTGCGAGCCTGCGGCGCTGGAAGCACAGGGCCCCGTGCTTTCTAGCCATTCCCACGCCTGCCGCCGTAACTTAAGTTGCATGAACCCCCCTTTGCTTTTGCGGCTGCAAAAGGAAGAGGGGTGCTTGCCCATCCCCAGTAACGTCAGCACACGTGAGTGCTGCTCTTGCTGCCTTGCACGGGGACAACACAGCCTGCCAGCCGCTTCCCCGTCGACAAATGTCACTTCAAGGAAAAGGCCAGGAAACCAAGGCAGGGCGGATCTCAGGCCTTCCGAGGGTCCCGCGCAACTGTGCATAAGTTATAAACTCATCTATTAGTAAACAGTTAACTAGGGCAAAGCAAGATTACGTAGCAGGATAAAAACAACTCACTCATCTATACTTTGACTCAAAGAAATCCCTAACGGAGAGCAAAGAGGGAATGATAAAAATAAACAACAGGAAAAATGGACACGTTATAAAGATCGGCTCAAATCCCCCATCTCCTTAGATCAGCCTTAGTAAGTTGGGCTTTTATGCTGTGTCTTCAGCTATAAGGACCAGCAATACTGAAACTACTTGGTAGTTGTTATGAAGCTGTCGTCAAGGGTGTTGCTGCTCTCCTGACACAACGTCCCCTCCGGGGTCTGGGGCGGAAGCTTCGTGTCACCCCTGAGTAAGCGCTGTGCACTTCCTCCTTTCTGCCAGCTACATCACGTAAGCTTTCTTCGCCTACTGGGAAGTCCGCAGTAAAGTCCTTCCTCATTCACAAATTTCTGCGGAGCTCCTACGGTTATCATAATGCTGCATCCCTTTGTCCAGTATCTTTACTTTGATTTTTGTATGTTGTTAATTTTCTGCAATGTTCTGTGCAGCTTCAAGTACTTTTTAAAAGGAGGAAAAACTTAAACAAATGGTATATTTAATCTCTGGGTTTTTGTTTTTGTTGACAATTGGGGAACCAAACTCTATAATCAGCTATTTGTTCTTCATAACTATATGGCTTAAGGGGGTGGGGCGGCGGTCACAAAAACACACTGACTCATTTTTTAATCTATAAAATTAATACTTTCATCTCTATTAGTATCTCTCAAATTTCTCTGCTGAATAGGGAAAGTAGAGATAAGAAGGGAAGGGAAAGAACAAGAAGACAGGCAGGAAGGGGAGGGAAGGAAACGTCACAACTGCAGCTACCATGCACCGAGGCACATCAACTGCTTACCTGCATCCCTAGGACACTTTAGATCGTGGAAGGTGTCCATGACATAATAATAAAATAAAGACATATTTTTACAAAGAGTGGCATAAAAAAAAAGACTGGCAGAGAATTTTGACTCTCCCAACTAACACAATTAAGGCACAATTTTAAGTACCTTCTACTTCGGATGGAGGACGTGCATTTACACAACATATACAGTACTTGAATTTTTCAATGCACGTTATCTTAACGCTCCGGATCTCGAAGCTCTTCCCAGATTTCAGTCAATCAACCTACACACATCTGTTGCACTCACACACCACGTTTACACTGTGATTCTCTAGAGGGTGATGTGAGAACAACTCACACATGGAGCATGGCTATTCCCACGTGCCTCTCTACAGATGCAGTGAGGTTCTCCACCCTGGCTGTACCCTCGAATCACCTAAAGGGCTTTTTAAAAAAATCTCTTCTGGACCCTAATGAAAAGATTCTAATTTACCTGCTTTGTGAAAGGGTCAGGGTGTTTTTTTGAAACTCCCCAGAGTATTCTAATGTGTAGTCATAACTAAGAACCTCTGGTCTAATCTAATTTAAAAACCTTCCCATGTTGTTGGAATGCTCTTTTCCTTACCTATTTTGCCGGTCGGTACTTGTATTGAAGAGGTTTGGGGTGACTGGGACAATCTTTTAAACTGTAAATACAGTTCCTGAGATGGAATGGCATACAGCCAGAGAGAACAGAGGTTAATTCCAAGCCCTATCTTGTTTCCTCACCTATAAAGAAGGGAGGAAAATATCTACCCTGTGGGGCCACCATGAGGATTAAATGGCATCACAGTAAGAACAGAGTAAGCTGTAGCTACTATTGTTTTTTGTTGACACGAGTCATTCCCCTACTAGTAAGACTTTGTTCCCCTAGTTACTTTCCTCTTGATTCTAAAAAGAACCCACTCAGCAAACTGAGGGGTAACATTTATTTTTATAGAGAGACCAGAAAGGAAGAGGGAAAAAGAAAGAGAAGAGAGGAAATAAAGGGTTATATGGAAGCTTTGGTGGGGAGAAGGTCCTGGAAAGGAATCACATGGAAGCTTTATAACGAGGTGGGGACACTCAGGGATTGGAGTAAATCAGAGATGCACTGAGACTCTAGTCCTACAGCTAATGAACTATGTAACCATCCGCAGTTATTTAATTTCCTGGAGCTCAGTTTCCATAAACAATAATGCCTGCTCCAAGGAGGTTCAGTCTTTCAGTCCATAAATGTTTATTATGTGCCCCTTACGATATTTATAATATAATGTCACTTGGTAGCGTTTAGAATTTAGAAGGTGCCTGGGCAAAAGAAGACGTATTAGAGAGAAAGCGAAAACAGGGAGTGAGCAGCACCCAGAACAAACCCTGTTCGCTATAGTTTCTCTTTCACACTGCTGTGTTGCTCTTCTAGAAAATGGATAAATGGTGGCAGGCCAGATCTCAGGTAACAGGCAACATCATAGGTAAGACACTAGGCTCTGAACCAGAGTGCTCCTCCACTTAATAGGCCTGTGAGCCGGGGCAAGTTATCTAAACTCTACTTCCTTCAGCTGCTTCACATATAAATAA